AGAGCATAGTTTACATTCACAACAGACAACCTCCAAGGGAACTGTACACAGACCCCGGGGCAAATGAAGAACTGCGTGTTCCCATGGACCACGTCAGATGTCCAGTGAAGTGTCGGGTTCGATGTAGCGGATGCTCACGTGACCTGAAAGATGGGTGTGCAGGCGTCTGAAGAGGATTGGTCGAATTTTTTTAGTTGAAATGTCCTAAAACGAAAGCTCGGTACTTTTCTGATATTCTTTTAAATGGGACCTGCATGTTCACTACTGCAGATTGCATTAACAGTGGTCTCCGCACAGTGAACGTTCCTACCCTATCAGTATTAATTTTGTGGAGTTAGTTGTTTTTATAACATTGGGTGTGCCTGCGTCGACACTGGTTTTATCCTTCAGTTGCGTGCTAGGAAGAGAAGGCAGACAGGATAGCAGATAATAGTTAACTATCACTGTTTCTGTTTGTACATGAGCTCCTTCATCCGTGTGTCCGGCAGCTAGTCTTGTGTTCGTCAGCAGCGTGTGTTCTGTCGTCGTTCTTGCAGCAGAATCTCGTGTACCCAGCAGCAGAGTGCCGCCTCGTGTCGGTGGCAGCGTATTTAAAGGCCAACGGCCATTGTTCCCTATTGGCCCATCTGATAGTGGCCTATGCGAACAGCCATCGTTTGGTATCCTCAGTGTGACACTTGGCGCGCGCGCTTTGCCCCTGGTCAGGCGTGACCTCAGAACCCAACCAGCGGCTATCCTTGTGTCCTCACGTGTCGGACGTTTGAAGGTCATGTTCTTGTCCCGTTCTGCCTGCCTCCGCTGGCATGCGAGTCTCCTTTGTTCGCTTGCCCTCAGGACCGCCCGAGATATGACTCGCGTGCTGACCGTCCTAAGAGTTATAGTTCTGATCTTCATGAAAATATTTGGTAGAGGACAAAATCAGAGAAAGATGATTTCTGACAAAGACAGGGGAGCCTTGAGTGGTTATTCTGTCTCACTGACGATACCTGAACCTCGAACTCACCCTCTTCTTTTACTGAGTATTGTAGAGTTCAATGCCCTACCATGGAAAATTTGTTCTGTCGTCTAAGACCGTGAACATCAACTATTTTGGAGATACTTTCAACGATCAGATTGCGGGATGAGTTCTACATCGGGCCCCAAACCACCTGGAGTTTCAGGCATAGTATTTCAAGTAACTTTTTTTAACGGTCAAGTCCTCCATATCTGAACGCACCTTAATACTCCAGCCTCAAGCTGCCGGCTTCTTAAATTAACACGAATTGGAAAAATGCTAATTTTTTCTTTGTCCCAGAGAGACATGATATCAAACAGCCTTCGAAGGTTAGGCACGGGAATATGGACCTCCCCGTATTAAAATTGGCCAAATCCTGATTTCCAGAGCATACAATTTAGGTTTAATGCTAGGATTTTGGTTCGGGTGTTGGAGATTAGGGCTATGATGGGAGTTAGAGTTAATGGGATCAGGGCTAGGGTCAGCTTTATGAGGGTTTTCGTTAGGGTTAACGGGCTCGAGACGTGACGTCACCTTTCCTGCCGGATGCGGTCTGTTTTCCCGCATCCAACTCTGCCGAGAAGAGTTGTTGGCGGATGTGGCGATAGATTGTGCTGGTGGGAAAGTTCTGGGTATACTGGTTCTAGCGCAAACCTCCAGCGTGCTCAGCAGAGAACTCTGTTTAAATGCTGTCTTAACAGCCGAGCAATGCTGATTGTGCTATTTTGTCTCTGTCGGGCCCGTCGCGA